GCAGAGCTGGGTATGGACTCTGAAATCTATGCTCTTAACCACCATACTACTGCATGAGGTTTTCCACAGTTGCAAGATAAATCATTTTATGCTCATCTTTTATTGTTGAAAGAGGTCAAGATTATTGGATTGGGAGTATGTTTGAGTTGTTTATATTGTGCAAATAGTGATGGGGAGTTTTCCCCCATCTATAAGTCTGTTGCATGTGTTGTATATATATACATGGCTTGCCTTGTACCACACAGCACTAGACATACTACCTAATATCACCATGTAGGTTCATTGTTATCCTGTCTGTAGTGTGAATAGCACATAGCCTTTAGCAAGATAAACTGATTCTTAATAAAACAAGACAAGATTAAGTTTGAAGACTAATTAAAAAGAAGGAAGCTGATCTCATGTCCATTAAATTTCTAGTGTGGTCTGTTTGGAAAGCATCCAAAAAGTTAATATACGTGTTTCACTGAAGAGTAATAAAAATTTAGGACTGGTGGGAAATTAGGTAAGGGTAAGGGTGAAAAGAAAGGAGGAGACACCAAATATGTAATCGAGAAGACTACAGAAAAATTTGTTTGCTTCACATTATACAGAGCCTTCCTATAGAGGAAAAGGTTAACCTTGGATCCATCTTTCCTGCATATCAGTAATCTTTATTATTAAGACACAACAACTCTATTTCATAATCATTTTCTTCCGGCCAACCAGCTGTGGTTACTCAAGGCAGATTAACTAGAACCTGATGGATTTCAGCCCCTGTTCAGCAATGCCAGCCAAATGCTATAATTACACAGGATGCAGGCTGAGATAATGTCGACCTTGTACTTAGAGATAGACCTAGATAAGTTGAACTGTCAGATTTGCAGGCCAGGCTTTTCAATCACTGGTATTGTATCTGTTAGGAGAAAAAGACAGAAAGGAAAGAAAAAAAAACAAAAACAAAAACCAAAGTTCTCATCATTTTAGTTGTCCTGAACAAAAGTACCTAGTAAGGACTAAGCCTTCAAATGATAGGAGTAGATTCACCGGTTTGGAGCTTAGAGAACTGGGGGAAGGTGTTCCTCTCTGAGGTACCCGGAACCGCTGTCCTTTCTGAGCCCTTATTTTCTGCGGGCAGCATGTGTGCAAGAGCCTTTCCATTTGGCAGTTTGCATGGCCCACTGCTGATGTTATGAAATTTACATTAAGTTGGAAAAACAGTCCTTGTCATACTTTATCCTTTTGGAGGAAATGGATTTCCTTAATAAGAGCACTGCTTTATTTCCCTCGTGAATTCCGATAGAGAACACATTCCTGGATGGCGTTCTACCAAAGAGAGAGGCTGGGAGGGAACGGCTTATTATTCTAAAAATTTTAATGACCCAGAAGCAAAATATTTTTGGTTTTTATATTATGGGCATAAATGCTTAAATTCAAATATCAAGTGCCAAGGCTGCTGAGATATAACTGTTGGAAATCAACCAAAGATGAGGGATCCAGGGGGTATTTGTTAATGATTAATGAATAATTCCCTAAGTCATTTGGTTATTATTAACTAGTTCAAAATGCCTCATGTCTAGGTCCTTGTAAGCATATTAAACTATGCAAAAGTTTCCTTGCTTTAATAAACTTTAAGTTAAATGTGAAAATATTTCACATATATCAAACGTTCTGCCGTGTTTTCCTTTTAGTTTCATGCTTTCTGAAGCTCTTCATATAGAGATGTTTATACCTTTGCCCAGGGACATTCTTTCCAAGGGGTGTGTTTGTCCCCGTCCACTTTCTCCTGGTGAACTCCCAATCATCTTTCAGAGCCTACATCAGGACTCCCCCTCATCTTTGCCACTTTCACTACCATGTTCCTTTTCCTTTTTTCTAGTAATTAATTGCTCCTTCACCTTTGGGTTCATAGTATAATTTTCCTGCCTCTATTACCCAATGTATCACATTATTAATAGGACATTTCTTCCAGCTAGACTTTCTTCTTCAAGGACACAGAGGCTTATTTGTCTTTGATCACTAGCACAAAAGCAGCAGGGGTACAGTAGGCTTTTAATAATGTTCATTGACTCTATGGGTGCATGAGTAAACAGTAAAACAAGTCATTCTAAAGAGAGAGGTTGGTAAACGTCCATTAACAGAAGAATGGATAAAGAAGATGTGGTACATACATGTGGTGGAATATTACTCAGCCATTAAAAAGAATGAAATAACACCATCTGTAGCAACATGGATAGACTAGAGATTGTCATACTGAGTGAAGTAAGTCAGACAGAGAGGGAGAAATATGGCATCCTTTAGACGTGGAATCTAAAAAGAAATGACACAAATGAACATATTTATAAAACAGAAAGAGACTCACAGACTTAGAGAACGAACTTATGGTTGCTGGGTGGAAGGACAGGGGAAGGGATAGTTAGGGAGTGGGGATGGACATGTACATACTGCTGCATTTAAAATGGATAACCAACAAGGACTTACTGCATAGCACCTGAAACTCTGCCCGATGTTATGTGGCAGCCTGGATGGTAGAGTTTGAGGGAGAATGATACATGTATATATGGCTGTTCACCTGAAAATATCACGACATTGTTTAATTGTCTATACCCTAATATAAAATAAAAAGTTAAAAAATTGTATGATGATGGGCTTAATCTAATTATATTATAATCACATTGTATGTAAATACACTAATGACAAAGCAGAGATTGTCAGGTTGGATGAAAAAAACAAGATATATGCTATCAACAGGGACAAATTTATATCAAAAGTTTAACCATTTATCTGTGCTGTCCACTATGATACTTACTAGTCACAGGTAGCTATTGACAAATACAATGTTGCTAATGCAAACTGAAATGTGCTTTAAGTATAAACACACACACCTAACTTTGAAGATTTAGAATGATTAAAAATGTAGAATATCTCAATAATTAATTTTGTGTTGATTACACTATGAAATTAATGTAATTTCACATATTGGGTTAAGTAAAATATGTTATTAAAATTCAGAAAGAATAAAGAAAGAGGTTAGTCTTTAGTATAGCTGCCGACTTTTGATTTTTTTAAAGTATCAATGAAGCAAGACTGTTTTCTCATCTGTAAAGCCCATCGTAGAATAAGAGGCACTGGAAAGAAGGTGTTGCTCTTGAGTATATAAGACTCTTCTTTCCTGTTCTTCATTTCCTCTTCATAGAGAGGAGGAGCATTCCCCTCAGTTCTCCAGAAGAATTTGTAAAAGAAGCATTTCTAGCTTCTCCCCACTCCTTCACTCACTTCCCTCCACAGATGGTTGAAAATGGGGAAGGAACAGGGCAGGGCTGGCTGCTTTCTGGGTCCTCATGAGGTTTCTGCTGCTCTGCATTTTACCTTCTGGGAGCACTGCAGGGGAGCGCGCATCTTTCGGGGGGGTGGGGCTTGAGTACTTTTAATACAGGGTTATTTGTTAGGCCTGCAGAGGAATGGGGCTTATCAGTAAACAACTTTTCATCTTCATTGGTAACAAAGGTGCTGTTTGACCTCCATGTTTCTGACTCCTATGTCCATGTTTCCTAAGTCAATATTTATTGCTTTTCCCCCAGATAACTCTAATACGATGTCTCTAGTTGTGCAGTTCCCAGAATATTGTGGAATTATAAAATTTCAGTGAACTCATTACAAACACTCTGAACTTAATTTAAATTTAATATATTAAAATACTGAATCATGGGAGTAATATCAGATAATCTTATTTCCTCAAAAAGTTGTTTCAGAATCATTAAAGCATGTCTTTTTTCACAGAGTGACATCAGATTTATAGAGGCCTAAACCCTCATTCATTACAAGTATTGAATCCAGCCCTCCTTCTGGTTGACTAGACCATTTTGTTTCAGTTTGACTATAGAGATGGGAAACTCACTAACCCTTGGACTTCCTGTTTGGTTGTTGGAGAACTCCACAAATTACAGAGTACTTTCTTTTATTAAATAAAAATTTGCTTCTTTGTAAATTTTACTAGTTCTACTCTCTGGTAGGATAAAAGAAAACCTATTTTACATTTTTTTCCATGATACATCTTTAGATCTTTAACATATTTCCTTGAAATCCAGGACCATATGTGTTTTATCTGTGTACCCGCTTCTCTGTTTAATATTAATAAAACAAACATCTTTTGACCACCAGGCACTGTGCCTGGTGTTAGTCACAGAAAAGTGAATAAGACATGGTTCCTTTCCTCATAAAGCAAAAATATACATGGAAAGAAGTGCTTCCAAATCATTGTGTAAATGGTTGCGATGAAAACATACAAAAAAGCAAAGGGACTCAAGAAAGGGAATATCTAATACTGCATAGGAGAAGAGTCTATATGACATAGACATAGAAGAAAGGGGAGTTTCTTAAAAGAGGGATTTTCCTAGTAGAAAAAGAAGGGAAGAATTTTCCAGTCGGTGATACCAGCATGTACAAAGTCACAGAGGAAAGAGACTGTAGTGCATGTAGTGAACATAAGAGTTTAAGGTGACTGAACCATGGTTGAGTGTGTGAAGAAGTGGATGGCTGAAATGAAGGTGCTCAGAGTATGAATGGCATCTGGTACCCTCAAAACTATGGATGTTTACCTACAGGTGAAGGAAAGTCACTGTAAGGTTTCAAATAAGAAAATGACCACATTAGATACTTTAGGAGGCTCACATAAGCTGTTGTATAATGGAAATGATATGAAATTAAAAGCGGGAGGGCTATTTAGAAGATTTTTGTTTGTTTCCTCTTATAATTTTTGTAATGGTCCAGCTGACTGCTGAATAAGAATCAGTGACGCCGGAGAGAAAAATAAATGATGCATAGCCTGTAGAATAAGCAGGATTTGTGGCTGGATGAAGATGGGGTGGGGGAGGGAAGAGATTTAGGAAATAAGTCTGGCTTGGAATGGATTTGGTTTCTTTGGGGTGTTCAAGTGAAAAAAAATCCAGAATACAACAGATACAACGAACCTTGGAAGTGTGTTCTGAGACTGATAATGTCAAGCATTGGAATTCTTTTAGCAGATGAGTAGTGCTTCAACTACGGAACTAGACAATGCTATGATCAAGACCCCAGGGAACCGTAACACTTCAGAGGCTGCCAGCAGCGCAGACAGAAGGATTGCTCAGAGAGGTAAGAAGTAAACCAAGAGAAAATAGTTCTACAGAAGCCAAGAGAGAAGAGATTTTTCTGGAAGTAGGGATAAACCATCATTCTCAGAGGCTGCAGAGAGTTCATGTTAAACAAGGATTGAAAACTTCTGGTGGATTTCTTGATCAAATCATTACTGATAATCCTTAAGAGTGATTTGAGCAAGTTGAGCTGTTGAAAAAACAGAGATGCTGTTTTCCAAATAGTGGCTTGGTTATGTGTTATGTAAATAGATATATAAAATATATAAATATTTGAGCTTCTTCAGTTCAGTTCAGTTCAGTCACTCAGTCGTGTCTGACTCTTTGCGACCCCATAAATCGCAGCACGCCAGGCCTCCCTATCCATCACAAACTCCCAGAGTTTACTCAAACCCATGCCCATCAAGTCTAGGAGACCTGGGTTCTATCCCTGGATCAGAAAGAGCCCCTGGAGAAAGGATTGGCTGCCCACTCCAGCCAATCTTGCCTGGATAATTCCATGGATAGAGGAGCCTGGAGGGCTACAGTTCGTGGGGTCGTAAGGAATCTGATATGACTTTATTGATTCTATGGCACTGAGTGATAATTGCCACTGTGCCAGTCCTACTAGAGTCAGTGTGGCCCACCAGAGTTACTGCCCATGGGAGGAAGTGTGAAGACCATGCGCACCTCCATTCTGTTCTGTGGTTTGCATGAAAAGCCACCGCTGGCCTCCGACCTGAAAGGTCTCCAAAATGTGAACCACTGAAATATCTTTCCTTAATACAAAAACCATAACATAAAGTACTAGAGTGAAATTTTCTAGCTGCCTGTAAAATTCTTTGTAGAAAAATACAGGTAAATTAAAGTGGAAAAGTATGATACTGTCTATGAAGTTAAAATTCAGTCTAATAAACTAACACTACTTTAAAAGCAAAAAATCAAAAAGAATGAAAGGATTAAGGAATATCTTATTTTTCACTTTCTAGAATTATTTGGTGGGTGGATCCTATCAATGGCTTGATAATGGTAACAGATTTCTGCAAATTAACTGTGTTTGAAATAAATACTGATCTTTGTTCAAATTGCTAAGTAATGTTCAACTTGTCATGTTTATTTTGGGTTTTGTCAGTTGCGGGAAAAAAAAGAACAAGTTAAATTTTCAGGAAATTAGGTTTTGTTAAAAGTACTGTAATTTAATTATCATTGTGCAGACTGATATTCAAGAAATGGTGCACCATGTAAGATGTTTTCTGGCTATTCTACAACTCAATTACAGCCATCTTTAAAGGCTAAGAGAGATTGGTCAGAAGTAATACTTAATTTCACTTCAACTTTGAATTGTACTTATTTTCAGCCTGATTTGGTAGGAATTGGCTGGAGCTATTTCAATGCAAACGATCTTTATTTTTCTTTTTTTGACCCTAAGATCTCTTCTTGAAAATAAATCTCTTCAATGACAGGCTCATTTAGAGTTGGGCTTGAATATTTCCCTATTGCCTTGCTCTTCAATTGGAAATCTGCCTGAATGGCACTGGGGAATAGCACACTGCTGACTGTATTACGAGGTCACTACTTTTTGGAAAGATATTCTGGTAACCATAGTTTTGATTTCCTATTAAGTATTTGATTTTGCCATTATGTTATATATCTGTTATGGAAAGATAGTTTTTTATTTTGTAGAAAAACCCCAAGGCAGGGTTTTAGTAGAACAGGTGTTCATTTCTCAATTATGGAAATGAAATCAGGTAGTAAGCACTTATGGTGAGCAGGATGGCATGTGTGGTGTTAGAAACCAAGACTCCTTTGTCTTGCCGTTCCATTACCCTCAGCATTCTAGTTCAAGCTTCCACCTCATATTTCAAGAAGGCTCTTGAAATATGCTCTTTATGCTCTTCCCCTCTTGTCAGTGTTCCAGCCAGCAAGAAGTAGGAAAGGCTGAAGAAAAGGTGGCCCTTCCTGCTAAGGATATTTCCAAGAAATTACACTCAATGGTCTCATATTTATGTTGCTTTGACCAAAGGGCCACACTTAGCTGCAATGGAGTCTGGGAAATGTAGTTTTTTATTACAGATGACCACATACCTAGCAAAACCCTGAGGGTCATGTACTTAAGCAAAAAATGGGAAATATATCTTGCAGAACAACAGAAGTCTCTACCAGTTTTCCTTTCCCTGCTCAGCCTGTCGCGCGATCCCCTCCATTAAGTCTCAGTTGATGATTCTCCTACTTCACCAAAGCTTTTTTGGATATTGGCCATCTCTTTTCTTCAGCTGTTAGAAAAATGACTTCTATGCTTTTGTCTTTATGTTTCTGTTCATGATGTTTTTCTCATCTACTAAGTAGTATTCCTTACGGACCGGGGTCTCATGCATTCCCAGTCCAGCGTGTGATTACACACCCTAAAGGTATTCCATAAAACCATGACTGAAAGTCAAGAGGTACAGAAATTGGAGATAAAAATAAATATTAGGTGGTATTATTTTTGCCAGAATAAGGTTCTTTAGAAACATAAAACCTATCATGTCTTCCTGGAAAGCTGTTCTGCTCCACTGAACAGTCTCCTGGGTGATAGACTTGGGCTTTCCTCTGTCAGAGGCACTGAGGTTTTCCACTTGGTTATGAGATCACAACAGGTCCTCTGAAGCCTGGAAGGTGAGACCCGAGGAACAGTGTCTCTGGATATAAACCAGGGGAGTGCTTGGGAATATCTGTTCACCATAGCAATGCTGGAACATCACCTTTATGATGGGGTGAATAGTTCTTTATCCTCTCAATGTACCAGGGAAAGATGTGAAAATGAATGTGAATGAGCTGGTAATCTGACTTGTATGTTTAATAAACTGATAAATGGAGGAACCAGGCGTCTAAAGGTAATGATGTAGCTAAACAGAAATCACTTTTCTTTTCTTGCTGTTCTCTACTGATAAGCCGTTGATATTCATAAACCGCTCTAAACTCCTGGAAATCTAAACTTTGAAAATTTTTTTTTTGGTACATATGTTTTTAGAAATACTTATTAATTCAGAGTTCCTAAATCAAGCTATGATTGTTTTATGTACAAATTAAAAGCCCATATTTGTGGTAAACATTTTAATAATGGCCATCAATTTGTGCTATAAGACAAGATACAGGATGCCCAGTTAAATTTGACATCAGATAAACACTGAGGTTTTTAGTATATGTATGTCATATGTAACACCTGGGGCACATTTATACTAAAAATGTGTTGTTTTTCTGAAATTCAGATTTAACTGGGCTGTCTGTATTTTTATTCACTAATCTGGCAGCCCTCTCCTTAGTGACTCAAGTCTCCTTCTGTCCATGCCACTTTGTCAGATGGCACCGTGGCTCCTCTCTCAAAGGGCAGAGTCTAGTTCTCCGCCCTGTTGAACTGGCGTTGACTTTGTAACTTGTATTGATCTGTAAAATGCGGAAGAAGAGACATTGTGAAAGTTGCAGCACCCAGATCTAGACTTCATCCATGGGACTAAGCAATTGTTCAAGGACCATTTATTGAACGCACAGCCTGTTCTCACTCACTTTCGATTATCAAATATTTATAAATGCCTGGGTCTGTTTCTGCATTTTGAATTAAGTTCCACCCTGTCAGCAACAAGATTTGAAGATGGGCTTCCCTGATGGCGTAGACAGTAAAGAATCCATCTGCAATGGAGGAGACCAGGGTTCAGTCCCTAGGTCAGGAAGATCCCCTCGAGAAGGGAATGGTGGACAGAGGAGCCGGGTGGACTATGTGGACATGACTGAGCAACTAACACTTTCACATTTCAGCAATATTATATTGTCTTAAATGATACAGATTTATATCTAACAGAGCCAATACCTCTTGAGTCCCAGACAAGGAGGGCTCTGCCCCATGTCCCATGTTTTAGGAGACTCACTTATCACAAATACTCAAATACAAAGGTATTTTGTTTTGTTTTCATCTTAATGTCCATAAAATCTTTTTTGAAGGTTGACTAATTACTTGAGCAAAAGAGAATTATGGAAGGGATTCATGAGCCAAAACAATCCCCTAAGGAATATAAGGGGCCAAAAGTCACAAGTGTACGTATGGGAAGGAGAAACTCTGATTTGCCTGAAAACAACAGAGCAAGGGTCTCCTTCAAAGTTCACTGCTCCAAATCACTCAAAATAGTATCCAAGCAGGGTTCCCCAATTAACTGTACTTATTCCTTCTCTTTTTCTTGGAAAGTAGTTTTGAAAAGCATTAGAAATGTCTGGATACCCTGAAGTGGGACTTGAGAAAGGAATCTGTCTACCTTGTCAAAAACTTTATGATCATTTTCCCCAAAGTTTGACCTCCAGGATCTTATTCTAAGATGTACCCTGGATTTGTTTCAAACAGATGTGGTAAGACACAGAGACATGGAAATTATTGTCATGAGGGAAGAAATTTATATTCACAGATCCCCAGAAACAGGAGGCATGGCATGCCATGAAAGGTCACACAGGGAAGCGCACAGGGCTGGTTAGAAGGCAGAGGAACAAGCAAAAATGTGGACAAGAACCTTCATTGTGGTTTCCATGGGAAGCAATGGGCGAGGCAGGGTAAGCAGGCTAAACAGGTTTTGGAATGTTCAAACTACTGCACAATTGCACTCATCTCACATGATAGCAAAGCAATGCTCAAAATTCTCCAAGCCAGGCTTCAATAGTACATGGACCATGAAATTCCAGAGGTTCAAGCTGGATTTAGAAATGGCAGAGGAACCAGAAATCAAATTGCCAATATCCATTGGATCATCGAGAAAGCAAGAGAGTTTTATTAACTTTGTGTGGATCACAGCAAACTGAAAAATTCTTCAAGAGATGGGAGTATGACCTTACCTACCTCCTGAGAAATCTGTGTCAAGAAGCAACACTTAGAACTGGACATGGAACAATAGACTGGTGCCAAATCAGGAAAGGAGTGCATCAAGGTTATACATTGTCACCCTGCTCATTTAACTTACATGCAGAGTACATCATGCAAAGTGCTGGACTGGATGAAGCACAANGGCGGCAGAGGAGGAGATGGTTAGATGGCATCACTGACTCAATGGAAATGAGTTTGAGCAAGCTATGGGAGTTGATGGCCAGGGAAGTCTGGCATGCTGCAGTCCATGGGGTTGCAAAGGGTTGGACACGACTGAGCCACTGAACTGAACTTAGTGTGAATAAGTTCAGCAGGCTCTGGGGTGGAGGGATAGCCCCTAATTGCCTGATACCTGGCCCTGAGGTGATGCTGGGCACAGGGATAGTGGCTCAACCTGTAAAACTTTGATAAAGGAAATAGGAGAGTATGGACTTTGGATTGGTTGATTTACATACTTCAGGGGAGTAATTTGCTAGCTCTAGGAGGGGAGGGGCAGTCTTTCCAGTGTCTGCAAGGACCAAATTTCAAAGCATCATAAATTATAGAAAATAAAAAATACCATTACTACAATTATGTATGTCATTTTCCCCTGTCAACAAAATCTTACTCTTAAAGTGATATGTTTCACAATTTTTGAACCTGAAATGAGCTTCAAAAGATTATTGGGGAGTTTAAAACTGAACAAATAATTAATCCTTCCTTGGATGAGTTTAGCCCTTTCTATGAAGCAAGTCTCATCCTGAGTGGGTGGAAATTTTAAGAATGATTATGAATGAAAATTTCAATGGATAATTTAAAAAACAATATTCCAAAATAAAGTAACTTTAAACCAAGATTCAAATAACAGCTAATAAAAAATTATTCATTGCATGTTTATGACTTGCTTTATTGCTACTAATGTGCAAGTTGTATGCACAAAGATAGAATCTGTGCAAAAAATTCATGTGCAAATTGAATGTGATGTTGACTGCAAGTTCAATATGGTACAGATAATTTTTTTGGTATGCTTATAACTTTTTATGACTCTAGTGCACATGTCATTGAAAAATATTCTTAGAGGTAATGTTATTCAACATTAAGGGTCATTATCAGAAAAATTAAGGGTCATTATCAGATTCAACTTTTAGGACTGTTTTGAAGAGTAGAAGCTGGAATCATCTGACGACTTATTCATTCAAGTATCCGGTTCCTAGGCAAGGAGGACTGGAAGACCAGGAATGCTTATACTTGGCCTCTGAATGTGGCTTGCCTTCATAATAACATGGTAGCCTCAGAGTACATACTGTCACTGCAGACCATGACTGCAACCATGAATTAAAAGATAACTTGCCCCTTGGAAGAAAAGCTGTGACCAACCTAGAAAGTGTGTTAAAAAGCGGAGACATCACTTCATCAACAAAAGTCCATATAGTCAAAGCAATGTTTTTTCCAGCAGTCATGTGTGGATGTGAAAGTTGGACCATGAAGAAGGCTGAGCACCAGAGAATTGACGCTTTTGAACTGTGGTGCTGGAGAAGACTCTTGAGAATCCTTTGGACAGCAAGGAGATCAAACCAGTCAATCCCATAGGTTTTGAGTTGCGTTTCCATTATCATTTGTTTCTAGAAATTTTTTTATTTCCTTTTTTATTTTTTCAGTAACCTGTTGGTTATTTAGAAATGTGTTGTTTAATCTCCATGTGTTTGTGTTTTTTACAGTTTTTTCTTGTAGTTGATATCTAGTCTAATAGTGTTGTGGTCAGAAAAGATTCTTGACACGATTTCAGTTTTCTTAAATTTACTGAGGTTTGATTTCTGACCCTAGATGTGGTCTATCCTGGAGAATGTTCCACATGCACTTGAAAAGAAGGTGTATTCTACATTTGGATGGAATGTCCTGAGATCCATCTCATATAATGTATCATTTAAGACATGTGTTTCCTTATTAATTTTCTGTTTTGATGATCTGTCCATTGGTGTGGTGGGGTGTTAAAGTCTCCTACTGTTATTGTGCTATTGTAAATTTCTCCTTTTATGTCTGTTAGTGTTTGTCTTATGTACTGAGGTGCTCCTATGTTGGGTGCATAGTTATTTACAATTGTTATGGATTGATCCCTGGATCATTATGTAGTGTCTCTCCTTATCTCAAAGAAGAANAGAGAAGAAAAATAAATAAAAGGAATCCAGATCAGAAAAGAAGAATTAAAGCTCTCACTGTTTGCAGATGACATGATAATGTACATAGAAAGCCCTAAAGATAGCATCAGAAAATTGCTACAGCTAATCAGTGAATTTAGCAAAGTTGCAGAATACAAGATCAATACATAGGAATCATTTGCCTTTCTGTATACTAACAATGAAACATCAGAAAGAGAAATTAAGGAATCAACCCCATTCACCATTGCAACAAAAAGAATAAAATATCTAGTAATAAACTTACCTAGGAGACAAAAGAACTGTACACAGAAAATTATAAGACATTGATAAAAGAAATCAAATACGACATAAACAGATGGAGAGATGTTCCATGTTCCTGGATAGAAAGAATCAATATTTTGAAAATGAATATACTACCAAGTGCAATCTACAGATTCAATGTGATCCCTATCAAATTACTTTTCGCTTCTCTTCATTTCACAGCATTTGTAAGGCCTCCTCAGATGGCCATTTTGCCTTTTTGCATTTCTTTTCCATGGGGATGGTCTTGATCCCTGTCTCCTGTACAATGTCACAAACCTCCGTCCATAGTTCATCAGGTTCTCTATCAGTTCTAGTCCCTTAAATCTATTCCACTGTATAGTCATAAGGGATTTAATTTAGGTCATAACTGAATGGTCTAGTGGTTATCCCTACTTTCTTCAGTTTAAGTCTGAATTTTGCAATAAGGAGTTCATGATCTGAGCCACAGTCAGCTAGGAGAGATAAGAAAGACTTTCTCAGCAATCAATGCAAAGAAATGGAGGAAAACAATAGAATGGGAAAGTCTAGAGACCTCTTCAAGAAAATTAGAGAAACCAAGGGAAGATTTCTCACAAAGATGGGTTCGATAAAGGACAGAAATGGTATGGACCTAACAGAAGCAGACGATATTAAGAAGAGGTGGCAAGAATACACAGAAGAACTGTACAAAAATGATCTTCACGACCCAGATAATCACAATGTTGTGATCACTCACCTAAAGCCAGACATCCTGGAATGTGAAGTCAAGTGGGCCTTAGAAANACAAAAAAGAGTAGAAACATACAAGATGCATTTGGGAAAATACAAGAACAATCATTAGAATAAAGGAGTATTAAGAGCATAGTAGGAGATAAGACTGGAAAAAAACAGTACTCTTTAAATAAAACTCCAATACTTTGGCCACCTGATGCGAAGAGCTGACTCATTTGAAAGGGCCCTGATGATGGGAAGGATTGAGGGCGGGAGGAGAGGGGGACGACAGAGGATAAGATGGTTGGATGGCATCACTGACTCAATGAACGTGAGTTTGGGTAGACTCCGGGAGTTGGTGGTGGACAGGGAGGCTTGGCGTGCTGTGGTTTGTGGGGTCACAGAGAGTCAGACATGACTGAGAGACTGAACTGAACTGAACACATACATACGGAATCTAGAAAAATGGTACTGAAGAATTTATTTGTAGGGCAATAACGGAGAAACAGCCATAGAGAATAGACTTATAGACATGGGGAGAGGGGAGGAGAGGTTGAGATGTATGGAGAGAGTAACATGGAAACTTATATTACCATATGTAAAATAGATAGCCAACGGGAATTTTCCGTATGTCTCAGGAAACTCATACAAGGTCTCTGTGTCAACCTAGGGAGGTGGGATGTGTGAGCACTTTCACATATGGCCTACAAAACCTAAAATATGCTAGACTTTTATGGAAAAATGAGTCATGTAAGGCAAGGCAGCACCATCCATCCAGAAAGGGAAAGCTTAGCTAACTAGGCTAGAACCCGTACCCTCTAAGCCAAGCCAGCCCAATTTTATTCCAGGCAAATATTTAGAACTAAAATTTTCTGGGATGACAGGTATTGTCTCAAGTAGAGTGCAGAGAATACATCTGAAAAGTACTTAGAATCAGGAAAAGGCATAGCTCTCACTACGTGATACATGTCCACAAGGCAGAAGCACCTAATTTTGGAAGTGATTTCCGATGTTAGACTCCATCTCTTGTGCAGCAGGAAGTTCAAGTTAGCGGATGCTGCAAAGATGCAAACCAGAACTCTCAACCAAGCAGCAGGTATAGCTTTTATTTATTAATGACCCAGGTGAGTTAAGCATGGTAAAACAGGATACTATGAAGTTAATTTAAGTAAGAGATTTGTGTGTTATGCTAAACAGTTCTATTTGTCTGTTCAACAAATGAGCCCTAAATTAGCATTGCAAGATGACAACAATTTTATTATTCTTGTGAGTTCTGTGGGTCAGGAATTTGGAAAACATANTAATTTAAGTAAGAGATTTGTGTGTTATGCTAAACAGTTCTATTTGTCTGTTCAACAAATGAGCCCTAAATTAGCATTGCAAGATGACAACAATTTTATTATTCTTGTGAGTTCTGTGGGTCAGGAATTTGGAAAACATATGGCACTGAAGGCTTGACTCTGCTCCATGATGTCTGGGTCCTCAGCTGGGAAGACTCAAAAGCAGGGACTGCCCTTAGATGATGAACTCTGGCCAGTGATGATGGAGAAAAGGGGAAAAGGTTCATCTCTATAGTTAAGTAAGTATTATAGGAAAAAAAAAAAAAAAGCAAGAACCTGGGAAATGATTTTCACTTCTTATTTAAAGCACTTTCCTCCTATGGCACCGTTGTAATATGAACTTACGTAGAAAGGGGACCACCTTTTCTGACCTACCCTCGCAAGTCACACAGCTTATTTTGTGTCTCATTCTGGTGGTTCCGTATTCAAGGAGGTGGTTCATAGACTCCACATTTTGATTAGGGTAAGGGTTATGTGAAGATGAGAACATGAGACAGAACAGATTTTTGGAAAATCCAGTCTGCTACTCTATATGATTTCTAGCTGTCTGTGAGATCAGCTACTCAGCTTCCATAAGTCAACATGACTCAGGGATACTTAAAATAGAAACTTAGCATTTACCTTCATCATCCTACTTTCATTTTCATACCTGTGGTCCTTCACTTTAGTAATATTCTATAGTTGTAAGGCTAACAAAGAGTGGAATGTCAGTCTTCATACTCATATAGATTTATGTATGTATTTGTGTGTATATGTGTGCATGTGTATATTTTATAGCTTTCCAGAACTGAAGAATAGAATGTATTGAATATAGAAAAGGTATTATTAATTAAATTAGCATGTTACATTTACTTTGACAGAGAGTTCAATAATCAAGAAATATTTTTCCATCTAATTGAAAATAATAATCATGCTTTAGATTTCAATGAAAACAGGAATCATAGTAAGACTTTAAGAAATTATGTGATTTTATGATTATGTTTCAGAATCTGAAAAATGATTACAGGAGATGTAAAGTGATTTATTCAGCCAATGTTTGTTGCAAACCACTTTTCCTTCAGGTGGTGTTAGGTTGGTGGAAACATAATTGCAATTTTGCACTGCTGGCATTTGCATTTAATATTGGTACAAGTTAGGTCTCCCCTGATGGCTCAGATGGTGAAGCATCAGCCTGCCAATGCAGGAAACCCAGGTTTGATCCCTGGGTCAGGAAGATCCCTGGGAGAAGGAAATGGCAACCCACTCCAGTATTCTTGCCTGGAGACTCCCCATGGACAGAGGAAGCTGGTAGGCTACAGCCCATGGGGCTCCAAAGAGTCAGACATGACTGAGCTGTAACACTACTAATACTGCTACTATTGGAATATGTTCTTAAATAAATGTAGTTATGGTACACATCATTTTAATGTGCATTTCTTGCTTTATTTTTTTCTGCTAATGATATTACTTGCTGCTTATTTTATATTTATTTTAGACTATAGAAATGTTAGACAAAAAGCAAATTCAAGTGATTTATTCGAGTTCAAAATAGGTTGTAAGGCAGCAGAAACAACTTGCAACATCAGCAACACATTTGGCCCAGGAGCTGCTAATGAACGCACAGTGGAGTGGTGGTTCAAGAAGTTTTGCAAAGGAGACGAGAGCCTTGAAGATGAGGAAGGTAGTGACTGGCCATCAGAAGTTGACAATGACTATTTGAGAGCAATCATTGAAGCTGATCCTCTTTCAACTATTCAAGAAGTTGCTGAAGAACTCAACATCAGTCATTCTATGGTCATTCAGCATTTGAAGCAAATTAGAAAGGTGAAAAAGCTTGATAAGTGGGTGTCTCATGAGCTGACCAAACATCAAAGGAAAAATTGTCATTTTGAAGTGTCTTCTCTTATTCTATGCAACAACAATGAAC